TCTCTGGGGAGGTCTGGATCGCATACCCAAAGCAGCCATTGCAGCTGCATGAGTCACAGTCCTAAACCTCGCCCATTTACCCTCGACATCAGGAGTGGGGGACGATGCAAACCCCAGCCGCAAGCGATGATGAAATTCTCACTTGCAACTTTCATCAGCTAACTGAGACCAGGCCACTTTAGGTTGGAATGGGGTCCTGGGTGTACACCCACCACCGGAGTGGAAGAATGGCAGGCGCATCTTACAGATGACTAGTCGATGGTCAGAGGGCAGATCAGCTCCACGGTAGGTCCTGGTGTCAAGGACATGGGCACGCATCAGCTGGTCTGTCACTACATAGTCCAGCCGATGTTCTTGCTTGGACCCGGCATGTATCCATGATGTTGTGTGGATGCGCCGATGCCAGAACTGCATGTTGGTAATTACAAGCCCACGGACGGCACAAAAATCTATCAGCCTCCTACCGTTGTCATTGAGCTGATATGGCCCATGCCCTCCGATCACTCCAGACCAGGTGCCAGCATTATGACCAACTCGGGCATTGAAGTCACCCGCCAAGATGACTCTATCCCGAGGGGCCACTTTAGCCAGCACCTGTGACAGGAGGTCATAGAAGGCATCTGACTCATCGGCTTTGCCTGCATCCCTCCACGGATGTTCATCTTCGGTGGGGGCATAAGTAACCACAACCACCACTCCTCGCCTCCAGTTGATGGGAAGGTGAGCCAAAAGTAGCCTGGGGCTTACAGCTTCCCACACCTCACCGCCACGCTCCCACGCACCCTTCATTCTTTTGTTCAAAAGAAGAGCCACACCCTGTTGTTTGGTAGTCTGCTGCCCCGAGTAGAGGACTGTCCACCCCTCATGGTGGCAGGAGCCAGAACCGGTCCACCGGACCTCCTGAATGCCACAGAGATCCAGGTGGTACCGGTCCAGCTCCCGACAGAGGAGTGGCAGCCTCTCCTCTACAGTGAGCGTTCAAACATTCCACGTGGCCACACGAAGTGGCTTTTCGTTGTTTCTGGAGGAGCCCCGAGGGTAGAGATTCAATCTCCTGCCTCCGCCAATTGGGGTTTGGCCAGGAGACGCCATTGACGCCTCTCCCCCCGGGGCCTCCGGCACAAGCTTATTAGTTATATAGTTAAGTCGTGGTTTCGTGGTAATTTTTTTAAGGCGGAGGGGTTACCAGCCCCTCGTACCCATCCAGAGCCCCCGTTTAGCCACTGTGGTGATCACAGATGCCATGAGGGGAGAGGGCCAATCGGAATTGGCCCTCTCCCTACAGCACTGTCCACGACAGAGTTGCCCGTCCGGCACCGCGAGGAGGTAGGGGGTTGTTTTGCCGGACAATCACACACGCACACACACGCACACACACGCACACCACACACACGCACACACACGCACACACGCACACACACACGCGCACACACGCACACCTACGCACACGGTACGGCCCAGCACGTGCTACACCTTCGTGCCTTCCATCACAAGATGTCACTATCGCTCCTGTCACGGTTTTACTAACTCTTTAATATTTTATGCTCGTTTCCCCCCCAAACGACCGTTGATAGGATGTGTCAATACTGTATATAATAGTCGTGGGTGGGGGATGGGTGCGCAAACAAAAATACATCGAATAATTTTATTTCGCGCGCCTTTAAAAATACATTTATTTTTCTTTATTTTTTGTGTGTTACCGCTTTTCCGAGGGTTATTACTTTAGAGGCGGTGGGACGGTCGCGTGATAGCGAATGATTTATGAGCGTAGCTCTCCGGCTCGTTCACCCGCAGTGTGTAACAGTTGGGTTAACTTTATACACGGACAGGGTGGTCAACGGCGCTACTCGCCGTGTCCTCGGTCGGTTTTGGTCTCCAGGGCAGACATTGTGGAGCGACAGAGAGGGAACTCGGCACGCGTCGCCCTCACCGTGGCTGCCCGCTTTGTTCAGGCACTCCGGCACGAGAGAGATTCACCGAAAAACACTAAACTCGCGCCCTCCGCCACTAGCGAGTTAAAGACGAATCTGGTCACACGCACGAACACACACATCTGCCGTATTAAATACGACGCACCCCAATGCAGTTGTACCAATCTGGTGACACACATATACTGGAAATGTGTGAAAAAGAGCTTCAAGGCTCATCGGATTGCTCCAGCCGAAATAAAGATTAAGTTTCAGAAAAAAATCTAAATATATAACACAAATATAATTTTCAGGTCTTAATTGATTGTTCACGCTTACAGTGGCTTTCAGACAGCATACATTAATTTTTCGTCTCCCCCCTCCTCTTTTCAGAACATAGATGGACTAGTCTTTCTAAATAAACTGCCAAATCGCTGCGCGTGCCGCTGACGTAATTTATAAATAAATAAATAAATAGATGCGCCGTTTTAAAATAAATACATTTATGCAAACCGACACACCTGATGACGACCGTTTGTGTTATGGTTGAAACGTCGTGAGAATTTTTATTGTTTTATATATATTTTATTATTTTATTGTTTCCCTTCAACGTGACTTTACCGAAAGAACTAAGAATAGAAATAGAATTATTGCATTTATAGAGTGTGATCGTCGTTCTCATAATCGCTGAGCTGGAAGGCAGCCAGGCGGTGCTACCAACAATATCTCTGTAATCCTCCACGTATTTAGATGTTATCAGCCAGTGAGTGAATGCGTATACGTGTGGGAGGAGTACCCTGAGAAACCACAATCATGCGAGGAAGCAACGCGCTATCCCATAGAGGAGGGACGGGTTTTATCAGTCCACACTTCGCTGCACTGCATTCTGTTGGCGAGCTGGGGTACTGTACCTGGCAACAATGTGTCATCTGTGCAGTGATTCCCCAAGCCTCCACAGTGCTGGATGACTACAGGCAGCAGGGTAGCCACCAATGCCGCAGCTATGAATGTTACAATCTCAGCAAGCTGGCCGCGCGTCGCTCTTGTGCTGTCGAGGATAGCTCGCTTTTCTGCAGATGCTCACAGCAGCCCCTCCAACACTACATATATATGCGTTTAAATAAAATGCAAGACATTTAGTTTGAAATTGAAAGCAATGGACTGTGGACATACTTGCCCCCTGCCAGATGAATGTGGAATTTCCGCAATTTGGCTCAGAACCTATCCACACTCGCTGAAAGACTTTGATTATGCAACCTAATAATAATAATTACCAATGGTGCCGGTGACAATATTTCAGTCAGTTCACGCAGGGGGACAAAATCTCGGAAAGTTAATATGTTTACTTTAACGATTCATAATTGAGTTGTGGGTCAGATTGCCTGAGTACAACGTGTGTCGTAAACCCTCCTCCACCCGACACAGGGAATGGCAACTGCCTGATGATGCTGGTTGTAACTACCGGAAAAACGTCGTACTAAATTGTTAAATACCGTCGATCACTGTCCAACACACCTGTGGTGATGAAGCAGTACTTTATGGGCCACGTTTCTTCTCGTGACAACTTTATTAACTGGCTGCGTTGGGTGGAGGAGGGTACATGACACAGCTTTTAATGACGCGATCTGACCCAAAAATCAATTACTAGTCGTAATATTAGTCACGAAAGTCTCCGGGTTAATATTCATTTTTAGAACAAGCACTACACGTATATACATTAATTACGGAAGTGTATCGCGCAAGTGTTTTTGACCGTGGCGTGGTTGTTTATTAATCTGCATTTGTGCCTCTTGGTGACAAGCAAGATTCATGCCAGCGGTCCACGCGAGCCCATCCATCGCGCGCCCGCTCTCGTCTCAAGGTGAGTTCAATTTATTTTAATTACACAAAGTGCCTCCGACTTTGTGTAATTAAAATACCCGTAACAAGTAAACTCGGGCAGGGCATGCGGCCCGGTGGCCTATCTCGGTATAACCGCAGCCAGAGAGCCGCGTGCAGCCGTGCCCCCCCCCACCCCCCATCAATACGGCAGAGGAGCCACTGCGAGGTCCATAGAATACCAAACTGACATTGACCCCTGTGTGTGATTGTGAATTTCAAGCCAAGAATCCCACGCCGCATTTCAACTGGTATTGCCTTGTGGTAAAATAATGGAATGGATTGCTTTTGGTATGGTGAGTCAACATGCGTCTCAAAGTGCACCTAGCCTGGCACAGGCGCCGTGGTGACGTCACCGTCACTTCGTGGCGAATGGCTGTTGTATTGTGATTGATTCGTGTTGTTCTTACAGTTTATAAACAAAAAAAATATTTACAGGTTTAACCTTGGCTGGGAAATAAGACGTCATTTGTATGAGACGAGGACAGAACGTGTATTGTTTTTCCTGGACAATGTACCGCTGAATTAAGGAGAGAGACATCGCGTTTGAGAAAATCAAGTTCGCGTGTTTTGCTGCGGTTCCATTGCAATTGGGATCTCACATTCGTTTGTAACCTGCTTAGACTTTAAACAATAAAAAAGCGCTTGTGCAGGAATGACAAGATACCTTGCAGATTGTGTTCCACACACACACACTAACATCAACACACGAAGATTAACAGACTCCCTGATATTCACTCACTACCCGAATATTCACTCACTCGCTCGCACACTTAGCATAGCTTTACTCGCTCGTCACACATTCACACACACACACACACTCGCTCACTCATACACCCATTCACACACAAAGACAAAGATCCCCCGTATAGCCTGTAACAGACTGTCGGGACAAGTGTTGTTAGCGAGCACCACCTATGAAGGGCGGAGTGGCACACGAGGAGATGTGTGGCCAGCACCACGCCCGGCCGTCTTTGTCTCCCTAGCGGCGATGTTTCACTCGCACCAGCTAGTCAGGCACAGCGCACAACAATGCACACATCCGGAGTGCGGTCGGAGGACACCTCCGACGGTGTAAATGTCCTCGCGCCGACCCTACCCCACGCCGTGTTGGTGGTAGTGGTGGTGCTGGGTGGTGGTGGTGCTGGGTGGTGGTGGTGGTAGCCGTGTTTTCTCACCGGCTGCTGTGAGTGTCGGGGAAGGCGAGTCACCTACCTCCTTTCCTACATATTTTCTTGCCCGGCTTTCTTGCGCATTCCTTGGATATTCGTTTGACTGAAAAAGTGAATAGAAACTAAAAAATAAGATTTGCTCCCAGGGCCAGGCCGGGAAGACGAAGACGAGCGAGACGAATAAAAAAGGAGCATGCAGCACGTCGCTGTAAGGGGGGAGGGGGGCTGGAGGTGGTGGGGTCCCACAGTGCATCCCCCGCTATCTCCCCTGCCTCGCTCATCAGCGCCGGCGAAGCGGCGGCGTTCGTGGCATAGCGTAGCGTGGGGAGGGGTGAACTTGTGCGGTGGCGCTAGGGACTATGGCGGGTCCCGTGAGTTAACGTCCTCGCTACATCTCTCTCTCTCGCTTGCGTTACGGCCGCGCTGTGTACTACTGCACGCTGGGGGGTGGAGGTGGATGGGGGGGGGCACGCGCGTCTCCTCTCAGTTTATCGCCGGCGCAGAATATGCACGCTCACTTAAATCCCGCTGGTCTCGAAGAGACCTTTGGGGCACCCGGGATTTTTTTTACCGGATCGGATTTGCGATTTCATTTCGATCGTTACCCTTTTGTTACCCGCGCGACTCTGGGGGCGAGCAGCGAGTGGCGTCGTTAAGAAGGCCTCGAGCTTTAATCGTGTTGCCTTTCTGTACCACACCTGCACCGTGCGTGGTTTGGCGGACATCAGCAAAAGTTCTGAGAGCACCGGAGCTCGCAGGGCAGCATGGAAGAGCGCGCACGCACACACGCACACACACATGGAGCGCCGTTGGCATCTCTCTCTCTCTTTTCAGACAACGCTGAGATTTAACACCTAACGCCTAGCGCTGCTACACACGCACCTCCTGCGTCCCAGCCTCGCTCCCTCAAACGCTGTTGTGTTTTACCATAGATCTTGGTGGTAATGTGAACCTGTTTGCGGTCCCATTGAGGTGTTTACTTTTGAATGAAATTTCCAGCACTATTTTATGGTTGTGTATTGCAGCAACGTGTTCAGGAGCTCGATGCCAATGTGAAGGTCTGCTGCTGGCCACGACAAGAGGGCTTCAGCAGAGAGAGAGTTCGTGTCGTGTCGCTGTTCCTCCTCCGTCGTTGAAGGAGCGCGGTCCATAGTGTGGGTTGGCACGCCCCGCCATTACTACTGTGGCTTGTGGGTCTAATTTTAAAATTGTGAATATGCACGATATTTTTTTGGAACTCAAGAACCCTTTTAATCTCATCACGTCCGCATTTATTGTGTTTAACTTTGTACTCTAGAAACGGGTTGTCGGTATAATGTTTCACTCCTCTGTTCGTCTGTTTGAGTTTGACCAAGGTCACAATAACCTCTTTCCTGGTCTTCAAGGAACTGAAATTATATCTCTAATAATAATCAGTCGCGTGATTGTGACCATTTTGATTATCGTAATCATGATAATATTCTCTAAGAAATTACAATTAATTATTAATTGTATGTTATTAATTTGCAAAGAGCGGTATTTTTTTCGAACTCTATATTTATACAACGAATGGACGTGAAAATCGACTCACAATGTGACCACACGTCCTAACGTACCAATTTACATTTGCAACGACCCCAAACATAATTGCAGTATAATTGCCCAAGCCCTCCCAGTTGTATTCGTGTCTTGGCGGCATCGACGCCTCGCGTAATGTACGTACGTATGTTGAACTTCCTTCGCACCGTACGCAGCCAACCGTGCCAATCCCGGCTATAGCCCAAACAACTGCGCAGAGAAACGTCCACGACTCTGAACGACGCGTCATGTACAGCGTGGCCACGAAATCCCTTGGCATGACGCATATTCACGATCTCTTTTTGTTTTTAATGGTTTTTAAAAGTGGGATTCTGAACGTGGCAGCCCCGGGGGAGTTTACGACGGAGGAGAGAGACGAGGGGCGGGCGAGCGTCTGCCTCCACGGCCGTGGCAGAGTCTCCAGACGAGCTGTGAGCACCTACGAACCAGATTTTCCGCAGCGCATCGGTAAACCTCCTCCTCCTGCACGTGAATCGTGATGGGCGTGAAAAATACCGGCGTCCAAGAGGAGGGAGCGTGCTCGCCGCAAAGCATTCTGGACTTTTGACCCAGCATGCATCGCTTGCAGAGCGGATTGGCCTCGTGGAAGCGGCATTCGGTTCGGTTCCACTCCGCCACAGAAATCGAACGGTGGGAGGGAGGGGGCGGAGTGCATTGTCTCCTTTTTCATGCAAAGGGACTTTGTGACCACCACGTGGTTGTGTTCAAGAGGCTTTCGGGGTAAATGCGCAACGCTGGGTTTTGCCTCGCCAGACCCACAAGGTGACGCTTCGGGCTAAATGTTTTTATTCGAAGCAGAGCTCACTGAGATTGCCGAGAGAGATCCGTATGGTTTTTTGATAGGGTCGTCATTGCAGACATTTGTCTGATACGAAGAAGGATCATTGCCCGAAACGTCACCTAATTTGTTTCTGTTCCTTTTATCGCAGCAGTGTTGACGAACGTGTCGAGTTGATGTTATTGTTGTCGTCTGTGCTTGTACGGCGTCACAAGAATAATATGCTTCACAGTTTATTTTGAAGTCAGTTGTTTAACTATATAACCCACCACCACGTGACATTTGCCAAATTATTCCAAACGTTGACAATTGTAATAAAATTGTCCAGAATTGTCTCGCTTTTCAACGGAATCGCCTTTGTGAATACACAAAATCAATCAGCACATCTGCCCACGTGTTGGGTGCTGGAGGGTTATTAGTTCACGACTGACATGATACCCACACGATGACCTAACTCAAAAGAACCCATTGATGAATAATAACATTGGTTGTAACAAAATTCCACAATAAACACGAGGTTTAATATTACTGCCGCACAATAATAATAATCTATAGCTGAGCACGGAGAGGACAATGGGACACCCCCTTTGTCCAATTGAGAGATGGCCACCGTCTAAGATGAAATGGGGAGCGTCAAACGCCGTCCTTAGCCCCAGCGGCCCTCCCTCACCCCGACATGCACGGGCAACACGGACACCGACTGCCTCCCCCGCCTCCCCTCGCCATGCGGCTCGACAATCACTGCCCCCCCCCCCATCTCCTCCCTGCCCTGCACCCTTCTCGACTTTTGATGACTACTTGGGAGTCAACCCTTTGACCTTTCTCGCCCAAATCCCATGGAGAACGGAGAGCGAGAGACCTGGAAACGCCAGAGTTCCCCTTTAAAAATAAACAGCGGGCGAGTGAGAAGGTGATGTGGGGGGGGGGGCTGTCTTGAATGTCACCGAAGGCTCTTGAGTGGCAGGAGGTCTTGCCAATTAGACGCGGCGCGGTGGCCGTTCTGATTCTGGGCGGCGTTGGGGGGGGGGCAGTGGGGGGTCGTGGAGGGAGGGGGGCTTCCTTGTGCCAATTATCGGGGAGAGGTGATCAATAATGGCGCCCACTGTGAAGGCAGCGCGGACCGCAGAGAGTGTGTTGATGACACAACGTTGTAGTGTGTTGGTGACACAACGTTGTAGTGTGTTGGTGACACAACGTTGTAGTGTGTGCTGGTGACACAACGTTGTAGTGTGCTGGTGACACAACGTTGTAGTGTGTGTGGGTGACACAACGTTGTAGTGTGTGTTGGTGACACAACGTTGTAGTGTGTTGGTGACACAACGTTGTAGTGTGTGTTGGTGACACAACGTTGTAGTGTGTTGGTGACACAACGTTGTAGTGTGTGTTGGTGACACAACGTTGTAGTGTGTGTGGGTGACACAACGTTGTAGTGTGTGTGGGTGACACAACGTTGTAGTGTGTGTGGGTGACACAACGTTGTAGTGTGTGTGGGTGACACAACGTTGTAGTGTGTGTGGGTGACACAACGTTGTAGTGTGTGTTGGTGACACAACGTTGTAGTGTGTGTGGGTGACACAACGTTGTAGTGTGTGTTGGTGACACAACGTTGTAGTGTGTTGGTGACACAACGTTGTAGTGTGTGTGGGTGACACAACGTTGTAGTGTGTGCTGGTGACACAACGTTGTAGTGAGTGTGGGTGACACAATGTTGTAGTGTGTGTTGGTGACACAACGTTGTAGTGTGTGTGGGTGACACAACGTTGTAGTGTGTGTGGGTGACACAACGTTGTAGTGTGTGTGGGTGACACAACGTTGTAGTGTGTGTGGGTGACACAACGTTGTAGTGTGTGTGGGTGACACAACGTTGTAGTGTGTGTGGGTGACACAACGTTGTAGTGTGTTGGTGACACAACGTTGTAGTGTGTTGGTGACACAACGTTGTAGTGTGTTGGTGACACAACGTTGTAGTGTGTGTGGGTGACACAACGTTGTAGTGTGTGTGGGTGACACAACGTTGTAGTGTGTGTGGGTGACACAACGTTGTAGTGTGTGTGGGTGACACAACGTTGTAGTGTGTGTGGGTGACACAACGTTGTAGTGTGTGTGGGTGACACAACGTTGTAGTGTGTGTGGGTGACACAACGTTGTAGTGTGTGTTGGTGACACAACGTTGTAGTGTGTGTTGGTGACATAACGTTGTAGTGTGTGTTGGTGACACAACGTTGTAGTGTGTGTGGGTGACACAACGTTGTAGTGTGTGTGGGTGACACAACGTTGCAGTGTGTGTGGGTGACACAACGTTGTAGTGTGTGTTGGTGACACAACGTTGTAGTGTGTGTGGGTGACACAACGTTGTAGTGTGTGTGGGTGACACAACGTTGTAGTGTGTGTGGGTGACACAACGTTGTAGTGTGTGTGGGTGACACAACGTTGTAGTGTGTGTGGGTGACACAACGTTGTAGTGTGTGTGGGTGACACAACGTTGTAGTGTGTGTGGGTGGCACAACGTTGTAGTGTGTGTGGGTGACACAACGTTGTAGTGTGTGTTGGTGACACAACGTTGTAGTGTGTGTGGGTGACACAACGTTGTAGTGTGTGTGAGTGACACAACGTTGTAGTGTGTGTGGGTGACACAACGTTGTAGTGTGTGTGGGTGACACAACGTTGTAGTGTGTGTGGGTGACACAACGTTGTAGTGTGTGTTGGGGACACAACGTTGTAGTGTGTGTGGGTGACACAACGTTGTAGTGTGTGTGCTGGTGACACAACGTTGTAGTGTGTGTGGGTGACACAACGTTGTAGTGTGTGCTGGTGACACAACGTTGTAGTGTGTGTGCTGGTGACACAACGTTGTAGTGTGTGTGGGTGACACAACGTTGTAGTGTGTTGGTGACACAACGTTGTAGTGTGTGTTGGTGACACAACGTTGTAGTGTGTGTGGGTGACACAACGTTGTAGTGTGTGTGGGTGACACAACGTTGCAGTGTGTGCTGGTGACACAACGTTGTAGTGTGTGTGCTGGTGACACAACGTTGTAGTGTGTTGGTGACACAACGTTGTAGTGTGTGTTGGTGACACAACGTTGTAGTGTGTGCTGGTGACACAACGTTGTAGTGTGTGTGGGTGACACAACGTTGTAGTGTGTGTGGGTGACACAACGTTGTAGTGTGTGTGGGTGACACAACGTTGTAGTGTGTGTGGGTGACACAACGTCACCCGCACACACTATGAGAGATCTATGTCATGAGTGATCTATGTTATGAGTGATCTATGTTATGAGTGATCTATGTTATAAGTGATCTATGTTACGAGAGATCTATGTTATGGGAGATCTATCTTATGGGAGATCTATGTTATAAGTGATCTATGTTATGGGAAATATATGCTACGAGTGATCTATGTTATGGGAGATCTACGTTATGAGAGATCTATGTTACGAGAGATCTATGTTATGGCAGATCTATGTTATGAGAGATCTATGTTACGAGAGATCTATGTTACGAGAGATCTATGTTATGGGAGATCTATGTTATGGGAGATCTATGTTATAAGTGATCTATGTTATGAGAGATCTATGTTATGAGTGATCTATGTTATGAGTGATCTATGTTATGGGAAATATATGTTACGAGTGATCTATGTTATGGGAGATCTATGTTACGAGTGATCTATGTTATGGGAGATCTATGTTACGAGTGATCTATGTTATGAGTGATCTATGTTATAAGTGATCTATGTTAGGAGAGATCTATGTTATGGGAGATCTATGTTATGAGTGATATATGTTATGAGTGATCTATGTTAAGAGTGATCTATGTTATGGGAGATCTATGTTATAAGTGATCTATGTTATGAGAGATCTATGTTACGATAGATATATGTTATGGGAGATCTATGTTATGGGAGATCTATGTTATGGGAGATCTATGTTATGGGAGATCTATGTTATGAGTGATCTATGTTATGAGAGATCTATGTTATGAGTGATCTATGTTATGAGAGATCTATGTTACCAGCGGTCCGGCTCTGTTGTTCTGCTCTCGACCGCCGCGCCGTTACTTAGAGAGCAGACGGATTTTGAAAACGAAACCGGGCCGCAGTTTATCAACCCGTGTCAAACTCTGGCCACAGCCCTGCTGACGAGATTGCAAAACATCGAAACCCGCGAGATGTATTTTTTTAATCGTTTTCCTACTTTTCAAAACATATAATCACAACAATTCTGCCGGAAATTAATGCGCAGAGAACCCGCAGGCTGGCGGGGAGGGAGAGATTGGTGGTTGGAAAATGGTAATTTATTTAAATCGCGCAGGTGATCGAATATTTCTGCTGCTGCTGCTGGTGGGTTTTTGAGGCCGCTGTTGCTGCTCAGGGGGCTCGTTCTGTGCACCGCGGCCGCACACACAGCCAGGGCTGAGAATTGACTCTCAAACACCCAACAGAGTGGCGCTCGCGACCAGCTGGAGGGGATGACGGGACATTGCCCCAAAGGAGTCGTGGCGGCGCGTTTGCTGCACGCTGCACAAAGGTTTCGCGGCTTAATCCCTAGCGGCCACCCTGGTTAATGCTGCGCTGGGGGCAGGTGGAAGGCGGGGGGGGCTGCAGTGACCAACCGCAAGGACACGCTGTCCGCTTTCACGGCAGCAGGTCACAGAGTCCCCGTGACGTTTCTCGGGGAAAAAAAACAACAACAATCTCGAGTAGGTCATTGTGTGTGTGTGTTTGCAGGCGGGCACGGCCCGGCCCGAATTTATGGATTTTTCGTTTTTACGACTCGCGAACTTACCCGAGCAAAGCCTGATTCGGCTGACGAGACACACTTGCATGTTGCAACCAGTGCAGAGGTTTTGCTTGTCTTGAATCAATGCTGCGAAGATGACCCGCTCCCACAAATGGGGCCGTGTGTTGAGTTAGGAATACTTGTTTTTATTTTGTATTTTATTGTGTTACGTGGCGACGGCTTCTCCGCGCCTCCACGCCGTCCGCTGGGTCAAGCCAAATGGTGACATCGCCCCCTGCTGTAGCTACACCACGCAGCGCCATCGACAGCGGCTCGCGACTCGTTGGCTGGAGCCTGCCGCGATTCACCGCGGGCGAATACGAAATGCGCCGGTGCCCTGATGCTGTCTACCGCTACTGGCGTGGGCAGTGTCCACTAAGGCCCGGGTCACCTGCTCCCAAAGACAACGATTCCCCGTATAGAGCGTTCGTAGACTTTTGGGGGGCAAGTGCTGTTGGCGAGCGCCTATGAAGGCCGACACGGCGCGCATAGAGGGTGGGTGGCCAGCATCGCGGCGGGCCGCCTTTGTCTCCCCAGCGGTGATGTTAACACACCGCACTAGGTGCTCATTTGAGGCTGAGTCGACCTAGGAGAGGCCCAGGACCGAGTTAGATATTCGTCACCGGCGTTGGCCTGTTGCGAAAATCGAACTCGGGTGGCCTTGGTTCGTAGTGCAGCACGCTAACGAGCACGCGACCTGCCCCCGTGCACACAGACACGCACCCTGGATGTACAAGTCTATGCTTTATTATCGCTGTTACCTGTTAACTAGCCTTGGGGTGCCAACGTATCGATCGAATATGATTTTAAGAATCCCTTGTAGACCGAATTCTCGACGCGAACACGTGGAGCTGTGCGACTTAACGGTATAATGTTGACAGTTACAGGGAATGGATCGGCGGCACAGTCCACGAACTCCTGCCACCCACGTTGGATTCCCGGCCACGGCCAACATCAGTGGCAATCGATATCGGAACTGGTTCTGCCCCCCCCCCTTCCACGTTCACCAACCTGCACTGACCAGCGCGGTGAAGTATGGTGACCCCGCTCCCTCCACTCAAGGCTTGGGATAGTGGGGGGCGTCGTGCGCGCACGGGTGAGTTGAGACAGCACGATTATCATCGCCAGGGCTTGAGGAGGCGAACGCGTCTCGGCGGTGCACGTGAAGAGCTGTACAACAATGCCTCTTCAAAGCTTGACGCCGCCAACGTCGAGTCGCGCGTTATCGGACACTACCACGGATGGAATACTTTTGGCGTAAAAACTAAAACCGAAAACCCACGCAACCGGACTTGAGTTTCACACACTCTTATTTACTCAATGAATGACTGAATTATTAAATCCTTAACAAGAGAATTATTAAATTGTGTCTCGCTCCGGCGTGCTGCCGCGGCTGTGTTATAAATCGACGTCGGATGTTCCCCAAGCCCGCGAGATGTATCAATTATTCACCGTTAAATTACTCCTTTCTCTCGCATCAATTATTCACCACCACCACCACCCCCACGTCTCCTCTTGATATGACAAAAAAAATCCTATTAAATTAAATGCTAAACTCAACGGCCTCGTTCTGATTTGGCTAAATGGCAGCTTCTCCGTTCCCGTGTGTGTGTCAGGACCGTCAATAATTCTGAGTCCACGGAAATATTGAATCTGCCGCCGAGTCTTGTCGAGATTAAACTCCCTCCATTCACCTCCAAAGACAAAGATCCCCCGTATACATTCACATACTTTTGGGGTAAGTGCTGCTCGCGAGTAGCACCTATGTAGGCCGGCACGGCACACGAGATGGCCAGCACCAAGCCCGACCGCCTTTTTCACACCGCACCAGGTACTCGTTTGAGGCTGAGTAAATCTAGGGGAGGCCCAGAACCGGTTCAGATTATCGTCACCGGTGTTGGCTGTGAGCGGGCATCGAACTCGGGTGGCCGGGTTGGCCGCGCAGCGCGCTAACCGCTGCGCCACCACTCCTCACCACCACCTCGTCGTCGCGTTGTGTGTCAGGCAGTAACGACATCAGCCCAGTCGAGCACGATGTCACCTCGTCTTTGTGACGTCATTGTAACGTCTTTGTGACGAGCGTTGCTTCTAAATCCGTGTCCTCGCGTCGTGCGAGCGTAAGCATTGCCGCCCGCGAGCGATATCGAGTTACTTGCTGGGTAAAGTGATTGTAACCACACCGCTGTGATGTTCAACATTACAGTCGTGTGTTGTGTCACGTCTATGTTAGATGATGGTCACGTTGCTTTATTAATATTCATTCTATTCTTGTATAAATGTATATGATTGGTTTATATATTAATGTCCCAAATCTTCTCAGCAACCTAGCCTTATATTCTCAACGGGCTTTCTCAGCTGGTTTCTAATACAGGGACACTTCACATATCTGCGTAGAGAGAGAGACCGTATTTCTGTCGCATAGAGCTCTTTCCCTGTCTCAATGTACCTCGTCTATCTCGTGCATTGTCCATCTGTGGCAGGGCTAAGGCTAGAGAGACGCGGACGGCGCTCCATGGATGGCACGAGACACGCATGCAGGTGGAGTCTACCTCCACGCCGTGAACAGGGCAGCGGCGCTGGCGATGCCGATGGCCATGGCAATGATAAAAACGACGACGATGATTTTGGTGAAGGCGAAGGGGTGTTGGTTGGTGGATGGGGCAGACAAATGGATAAGTGCGCCGTGGACACGTCTGGCATGATTATGAAACAATTCATTAACACGAACAGAAACGAGTTGGATGAACGTTCGTGCAGACAGGTTGATGACCGAGTAGACGAGCGAGTCGATGAGCGAGTGAGCGAGCGAGTGGGCCAGCGGCATGGAGGGATGATGAGCAGGGGAGTGAGTTGTCACACAGCTGTAGCCACCACCGCGCACCACGGCAACACCAACAACACGACAACAACAACAACAACTCACGCTCTCTCGCGCCCACTCACCGTCCTCCGTGGGCACGTAGATGTTCATGTAGAGGCAGTCCTCGTTCTGCTCCTCCAGGTAGGGCATCACCACGTCCATGTTGGCCGTAAACCACACGGGCAGCATCACCTCCGGGTGGTCGCTGCGAATGATTTGCGGGCACACGGGCGCGAAGAGCGTCGCGTTGCGTACTCCCTGCCACGGTTTGGGGGGCTCTGGCGGCTGGAAGCGTCGCTCGGCCACGGGGGCCGCGGCGTAGGGCACCCCCAGGAACTGGTCCACGGGCCCCAGGATCTCGTTGTTGAGGACGATTCGCACCCCGCGCAGCTTTCCTGACGTCGTGCTGATGGTCGGGTACGTGGCACCCGCATCGGCCACGACCGCCCACGCCAGCAACAGCAGCGGCAGCAGCGGCGGCGGCATGCATCGTCCAAGCATGCCGCGAGGAGAAATGGAACGCCACGCTGCTGATGCTGATGTTGCTGCTGCTGATGATGATGTTGCTGCTGCTGCTACTGCTGCTGATGATGATGAAGTTGTTGGAGCGGGAGTAACGCGGTTCGCAAGAGAGCGCAGCAGGAAACCTCGCTCCGTCGCTTCAGTAACTCCTCCTCCGCCGCTTCCACGCGAGCGACACATCTTGAGAGGAACAATAGCGAGGGGATGGATGGCTCACTGACGAGGGATGGCCGCCTTGGCTTGCTGGCTGGCGGGGAGAGGGAGCAGGAATGTCGAGCTTGTGTGCAATTACGTCCGATGGCTCTCTCTCTCTCTCTCGGTCGCTCGCTCCCTCGAGTCTTCCACGTCGTCCCACAATCGCGTTGTCTTCGCGCGGCACCACAGAGATGGTCAATTCCCAATTTTCTCTCGATGCAAGTTGTGGTTTTATTTTACAATCCGTCGATATCTACTCGCTCACGACGCCGCCTCGTACATCCTCCCAGAGCCGCCACCACATCGATCCTTCGCCTAAGGTGATGGGGAAAAGAGGGGGACGATGAGCGGGAGGAAGAGAGAACGGAGAGATAGCGAGGGCGATAGAGTGGGGGGGGGGGGGGAGCAAACAGGAGAGAAGAAGACAGAGGAGAGAGAACAGCGTGCAGGAGGAGAACACAGGCAGAGCACGAGAAGAGGGAGCGAGATAAAGAGGACAGAAGAGAGAGAGCGAGGTTGTAAGATAAGAGATTGACAGGAGAGAAATGACGGGAGCGAGAAGAGAGAGAGGAGAGGGCAGACGGGATGGGATGGGCATCAGTGAGATGGATCAGCCGCATGGGCGATGCAGCTGATCCTCGTCCCTGGCACGGAGCGGGGCTCCCGCCCGCAACGCCACTTCGAGCGGCTGAGCGGCAGCAGCAGCAGCAGCCTCACCCGTGGGATGGATGCTCAGGCACAAGCGAACAAACACAAAGATAAAAGCCCCCGTATAGCCTCCATAGGCTGTTGAAGCGAGGGTTGATAGCGAGCACCTATACAGACACACGCATACAAAGACATGTGTCCCCCGTATAGCTTAAATAGGATGTTGGGGCAAGTGCTCCTAGCAAGCATTTCTACACAAAGACACATACGGACACACAAAGACACAAGTCCCCAATATAACCTACATAGGCTGTTGGGGCAAGTACTGTTAGCGAGCACCGACAAAGACGCGCAAGCACACGATCACAAAACGCACGCACCGCTATCGCAACCATCACTTCGCATCGCTGCTGCTGATGCAGATGTCCCCTGATGATGCCGTTGGCAAATCGAAGAGGCAGTTGCTTGCGAGCAGCGAGCGAGAGAAAGTGGAGCGATGCAATCCCCGTGCCTCCTGTGAGCGCGCCGCGCAGGCGGTGAGTGCGGGGAGAGGAGGAGAGGGGCTGATGAGGAGGAGGGGGAGGAGGAGGGGCTGGAGGATGAGAAGCCACGCAGCTTTTGCTGCCGGGAAGCTTATCGGCCACAAGAGGACGCTGTTGGAGGTGGCAGCGCCCCGCTCTCTCGCAGCACCCTGCCAAGTCGAGTCGCGTATTGCCCGGACGTTCCGGAAAGTGAGACGCGTCCCCTTCCCTTGTCCCCAGGGTCAGCGAAGTGACACAAATCTGTAACCTGAACAGGATGTTGAGGTAAGGGCTGTTAGCGATCACCTATTGAGGCCGGTACTCAACGCGGGTTGTGTGTGACCACAACGACGCCCGGCCGCCTTTGTCTCCCCCCAGTGCTGATGTGTGCGCACCGCACCAGGTAGTCGTTTAAGGCTGAGTCGACCTAGGGGAGTCCCAGCACGAGTTATAATATCGCCGCTGTTATTTGGTCGTGAGCGTTAATCGAACTGGGGAACGCTGTGTTTGAAGGGGAGTGCGTTAACCACTGCGCCACCGCTCCCACGCACGAAGCTGATCACACGCACAGCTTACCGGATTATAAGACGCACCCTCGCCTCTTGATTTACAAGACGGGGTAGGTGTGGTGGAGCCAGCGCCGGATTCAGATTGTGGAGGCCCCTGGGCTACATGCACTGTGAGGCCCCCAGTAATATATTCAAAGGGAAAACAAAGTTAAAGAAAATTTTAATTGTATTTTTACAAGGCTAACAACAAATAAAATTCAGCATTCACAAGTGAAATAACTTTTCACTTCATCTCTGGAGGCCCTCCAGCTGGCGGAAGCCCCTGGGCTGCAGCCCCTAAAGCCCCGTGGCCTGAATCCGGCCCTGGGTGGAGGTGGGGTGCGTCTTATAATCCGGAAAATATGGTCCCGTTACGTCAATTCCACTGCAAGATGAGGCTTTATCCACACCTTGCGGATCCATGAGAGTTATTTGACCATACTTCACCGCGCTGGTCAGTGCGGGCTTGATGAACGTGTGGCGGAATTGAGTGCAGCGGAACAACATTGAGTTTCGCTACGCTGCCCTCTGCTGCCCACGACGTAGCCTATAGCATCTGTGTCTCATGCACTGCGGTCACCCATTCAAGAGGTCCCCCCATAGCAAGCCACTGGGGGTCTGCTCTCCAATGGGATCCTCCATATATCGAGCCACTGGGGGTCTGCGCTCCAGGGGGGTCCCCCCCATAACAAGCCACTGGGGGTCTGCACTCCAGGGGGGTCCCCCATAGCGAGCCACTTGGGGTCTGCACTCCAGGGGGGTCCCCCATAGCGAGCCACTTGGGGTCTGCACTCCAAGGGGTCCCCCCCACAGCGAGCCACTGGGGGTCTGCGCTGCTTCGACAAAGGAGGAGAAATGAGAACCACATAACGACACCAACTGCCAAAGCCCTCTCGGCGTAGCCTGCAGACCTCGGCACTGGCATCTCGCTGCTGAGTGTATTTCTACCGATATACGCAGTAGAGTGGACTAGAACACATCCCGAGCAATGTGCAGGCTCGTTCCAACTTAGCTTCCGAGATCTGGTCTCGGGCAGAGTCTTCTCAAGACTCTTTCAGAAGGTTCCTGCCACATTTGCGATGTTTGGCCGAATTCCATAATTGTGAGATGTTGGCTTTGTGGTGATCATCGAGCCTTGAGTGGGCACTGCCAGAATGCGGTGGTGGTGGCTGTGCGCGTGGCTGCCTGCGACCCAGCGCTGTGGAGGCAGCAGCAGCAGCAATGAGGGTTGGGAGATCACCCCCGGATACGGACGATGTGAAACTCCTTTCCCGTGAGCACTTAAACGCCCTCAACAGCCACTCTCCGGAGTACCCTCCAGTGGTAGACCCCTTCCGCCAGCAGTGGCGTGAGCAGGAAATTTCAGGGCCGCGCCTTTACCTTTACCATAGAAAACTAAATGAGCAATTAATATGAAAAAATCAAGCTACTCTAAAATGACAGCACACCATCGATTACGTTTGTTTACATTTAAATGCGTTTAGAACGCAGCAGATGAACACAAGCAAGTAATGGTTTCATATGACGAAGCTATTTCTCAATTTTGCAGTTGTATGGGCCGGAGAGATTTCCCCACGCGTACAAAATATTGCACCGTCTTTGTTTCTTATCTGCGTCTTCTTCACGTCACCTGCGAGGCCACGGCACCAGGCGGTGGTGGTGCAGCAGTGGCGGGCGAGCAGGCGGGTCAGGGAAGAAGGGACGCTTGCCCATGGCTCAGCAATCATCACGGAGCGCCAGGCCCGACCAACAGACGGGAACGCGGCCTCGACGAACCGAGGAGATCCAACCGAGGAGACGGAGCAATGAAGTCGGCTCGCGTTGTGCGGATTGTTAGAGCGCAGAACCGTGGGAGACTGTGACGGCTTAGGGAGGCCGTCACCCAGCAGTGGATAGATGATGGCTGCCGATGATAATCGTGATGATGATGATGACATATTTGTACTCGTTGCGATTGGGCTTGAATTAAGCTATTTTTTTGGAATTCATTTCATTATAACATAAATGTATTATCTTTTTTCAAATCATTACATTGGTTTTCCAAACTGTGTTTAACCTGAATGCCAATTAAAGTGAGTTGCAAATCTTATGAGCCTGAGTATACTGCACGTTATGAGATTGTCTCCACCACGCATTAATTTATCTGGCGGAGAACGTGATAGAATATCTCATGATGTAGGTCATCCCTAGCCCCCACCCCACACCGCCCCACTCCCCGCCCCTCACGGAGGAGGCCCCATTGTCAGCAGGTAGCGGCTCGGCACGATCACGCTCCGATTTAATTGCCGCACCACAACCCCGAAGCGGGCAAGGCCACGCGAGGCCGTCAGCAGCCGCACAGCCGCGACCGCTCCCCATTCGAGCAACTCCGCAGGTCAACGGGTGGACTCCAAAAAGTGGGCCATAGCCTTCCAATGGTCTCGCCAGCCACATCCACTTCGCGTGGCATACGAAGGGAGGGGATGGGAGACATGGGGAGGGGAGGGCACGGGATGGGAGGGGTGTGGGGTGAAGGGATGGGAGATATGGGGAGGGGAGGGGATGGGAGGGGGGGAAATGGGGAGGGGAGGGAATGGGAGGGGAGGGGTGGGAGGGGAAGGGAGAAATGGGGAGGGGAGACATGGGGAGGGGATGGGAGCGGTGGGGAGGGGATGGGAGCGGAGGGGTGGGAGGCGAGGGGAGGGGTGGGAGGCGAGGGGAGGGGTGGGTGGCCCCGTTGCTGAGACCTCGCTCGCTCCGAGTCCCGTGTTGAGCGGCCTCCGCCCGCTGGGCGTGGCGACTTTTACGGCCTGCGCTGGGCCGCCGCTCCCCTCCCGCGGCTCCTCTCGTGGGATGCTCGCGGTGGCTCCAACCCCACGCACGACGGGCGGAGACGGCTCCTCCATGAGCCGTGCCTTCATCTATTCCTCACTCGATATTGTCCCGACAGATGCTAAAAGGCGCCTGGCTCGCAGTGGGGATTTATCGGCGTAAGGTACTACCACGAGAGTACAATTAGATTACGCTTTTCTGTAATATTCCCGTTTTATCGTACCCTATGTTCCTATAACGCCTCGTATGAACAGGTTCATATACAGGGTACGTCAAAAAAATATTAACACTTACATGGGACTATCATTTTTTTATGGAAAAAGAACGGATAATAAGACACTGCCACGTGATAACAAATGTGACGTTAATAGCTTCAAAAAAGTCAAAGAGTCTCCCACTTATATTCTTAGTTTTTTCGGTAAAGTCACGTTGTCAACACGTAGCCTGGAATCTCATCCAGGTGATCTCCAGAGCCTGGAGGCAGCAGCGCGTCTCTCGTGGTATCGTTGCAAATTCTCAGAAGTGTTTGAAAAATGTGAAGCACCCTTATATACAACAACAACAAATGAGGACAACAAAAGGCGAGATAATGACATAAATTTTAACTTGTAACGCTGTGCCACCGCAGAATAACGTTCGCTCGCTCGCGGAGAGAGAGGAGGGGGAGACGAGAGGAGCCATAGACGAAGAACGGGAAGGCAGCAACAGCGGCGATGCGGTGAGGAGGCGGCGCTTCCAACAATCGCCCAAGTTCTGCGATCCTCTAAATATGAAGGCGTCATCCGAC